TGAGGAAAGGAAGTACGAGTTAGCAATTACAATGTTTTGGAACCCTGATAAAGAGGTTTTGGTTGAAAAAATTAATTCTTTTTTTTTTTTTTTAAGGAAAGAATTGTGTAAGGTAGAAAGAAAAGAAGATGAAGAAAAGAAGATAAAAACGATGATTAACAGCTAAAAGAAGAAAAAAAGGGAGTCTACAATGAACGTTTAAAGCTGCAAAACCTGGAAAAAAAAGAAAAGAAAAAACTGTAGAGTGCAAATATTGCGAATGTCTGAATACAGCCGTATAAAAAGCTTAAACGTTTCTTTTATCATTCTTCTCCAAAGGAACTACATCGCATTTTATTTTACCAAATAACTAATTTTCCTTCAGAGAGAAAATAAACGACATTTGGTAATATAAGACAATAAAGTTTACTCTATCTCCTTTCGAACTACAAATAAGCTGTATGGAAAGTGATTTGCATTGTAATCAAAGAGGAGAAGACGTATGGGAAAGAAGGACGCTAAGAATCACTGGAAACAGGCAGAAAAAATAAAATAACAGAGGAGCAAAAATAAGGAGTGAGATGGTGAAATCACTAGGAAAGTTGATACTCAGGGTGAGTAATAATTGACTGGAAGTGATACTAATGTGAAAACTAGGAGGAATTTTAAGTCAACCAGACTAAATTGCGCTTGATAACTAGGAGTGCTGGAAACTTTTTAAGATACTGTTACTAAATTGAGCTCAATAAAGGAGAGCTGCTTTGATCAGAATGATTCCGTAAATTAGACAATGGTATTGAAACAATTTTCCGATAATGTTGTCTCCCGAAGGTGCTGTGGGTATTGTCTTCTAAATAATCTAATTCCAATAGCGTTTGTGGAAAGATAGTATTAATTTGGAGAAGGTCTATGCTTTCAAATGGTTTGTTACCTGAATGTCTTGAAAGATTGAAGGGTCAGCAGTTAATAGACTGAACAATTGCTGAATTGGTTATTTGAAACTTGTGCAAATAGAACCGCTCTGAATTATTTCTCTGCTATGACCATCTGTTATCTTATGCAAAAATCTTTACAGTTGCGTTTAAATTTAAAACTATCCTCAAACTGTTTCAATTTTCTTTTGGTTCAATGTTTTTTTTTTTTTTTTTTGAACAAGAGCTTTCACAGATATAACATTAAAATGAAAACTTTTATTCAAGAATTACTTAAATCAAATGATACAGGGTGAACTGTTAATCAAGATTAGCAGTCTAGTAAAGATGATGCCAAATTTTGAAAAAAATGAACAGTATTAGAGGAAGTTCTCTTGGTAGTTTAGCGTTACAAGACTAGATATCCCATAACAACTGATGTAATTCAAAATTTTTTTTTTCTTTTAAATTTAACATCGCAGGTCATACTTTTGCAAATAGTCAGTTTATTTGTAAAACTACTGAGGATACAGTCCAGCTGCTAGTTTAATCAAACAAAGAGATGTTAATTATTTTTAGTTTAGTGTAAGTATTTATCTGAATGTTTAAAACAATGCATCATTTAACAGATAACTAAAGGTGGAACAAACGCACTTACACACAAACACACACAGATACAGAGACACAGATACACATATACTAAGTATAATGAGACAAAGCCGGAGTATAATTGTAGTAAATGGTATCAATAGCAGGTTCTTTAACTGTTTATTATACCACTGCTTGTCAATACTCATCTAAGACCGACTAGCTGTGTAAAGTAAGTGCTGCTCTGATAGTGATTTGCGAATGTGTGAAATAGACTGAGCTTACGCACATTCAGGCACATAAACACCAACCATTTCCTTTGCTTAGTACTGCACTTCAGTGTCTGCTT